TACTTAAATGGCCGTAACCAAGACATTAATCATAAATTTTGGATTTATTTTTTTGAGTTGAAAGACAACACTTGTATCTTTAAAACAAAATATCCAGTTTGAAAATCGGTTGCAAACTACCAAACATATATTTTTTTAAAGTTAAAACTTCAAAAATAGCTCTTTTTCACAACTTTTGCTCTTAAAAAGGAACTAAACGAAGTGATCGGGAAAAATTAAAAATAAATTCCTACTCTATGGACTATAACGAAATGGAATTGGTATATGAGAACCCCTGCATTTTTTTGCTGTATCACTGTGTAATTGTTCGTCCGAAAATTGTCTTAGTCCTGGTCCATAAACCCTATAAAATATTCCCGTACATTGAGAACATTTAGTATTTCGGAGATGTTTTCAATTTCATGGTTTTAAATATAGAATGACTTCTACCATGATGTTTAATTTTATGATCGTGAGAGCTTTCATGTTCATTTCTCGTCAAGGTAGAGAAAAGGTTTCTTTAACAAGTATTGTCGACATGTGCTTAAAGAGTCATGTTTCTAAATTTTTTTGCGATTGCATAGGAGTGAGCTGAGTATGTAAGCTAAGTTTTCGGGAAAATATGTGAAAGTTAGACTTCTTCGATGTTGTTGCGGAATGCGTTACCCACATAAAATACGACCTGAACTCTTTGCGAATGTACTGTGAATTTGGATCTTAAATTTGAATTTTAAAATACCTACGAATTATTTTACTGCGTGGTTTTGATTATTTACGCAAAACGCTATGAATTTTCTGATGATGATTTAATAATATTGGACAACAAAATGAAGTTAAAATCTGTGTATCACGTTGGAATGGAATATTTATATTTAAAATTAACTAGATTAACACTTTTGCTTACAATTTAAAAAAATATTATGAAATGTGACCTAACTTCATATTCCGGGATACCAGTATCAGTATTTAATTCTAAGGCAAATCATTATCTGTCTGCTATAAAAACATTTATTTCGATACATATATATTTATAAAAATTACAAATCACGTAATACTTTACTTTATAAAAGTGAAACAATAAATTTGTAGCGCCTAGCTTCATCCTGATAAACGACCGAAACAATAAAATTCAAAGAGTCACCAACAAATCTGGGATTATTGAATAAAAATTGTGTATTTTAGTATTTATGAAAAATTTGGAGATATTTTTAATATTTTGTAACATATAGAGAATATTTTTTATTCATTTTCGTTCGTCTTCGCGGACCCCCTAGGATTTTGCTACGGACCACTAGGGGTCCGCGGACCCCCTTTTGGGGAACCGTTGGTCTAGTCTATAGTCTAGTCTATAGTCTAGTCTATAGTCTAGTCTATAGTCTAGTCTATAGTCTAGTCTATAGTCTAGTCTATAGTCTAGTCTATAGTCTAGGTCTATAGTCTAGTCTATAGTCTAGTCTATAGTCTAGTCTATAGTCTAGTCTATAGTCTAGTCTATAGTCTAGTCTATAGTCTAGTCTATAGTCTAGTCTATAGTCTAGTCTATAGTCTAGTCTATAGTCTAGTCTATAGTCTAGTCTATAGTCTAGTCTATAGTCTAGCTATAGTCTAGTATAGTCTAGTCTATAGTCTAGTCTATAGTCTAGTCTATAGTCTAGTCTATAGTCTAGTCTATAGTCTAGTCTATAGTCTAGTCTATAGTCTAGTCTATAGTCTAGTCTATAGTCTAGTCTATAGTCTAGTCTATAGTCTAGTCTATAGTCTAGTCTATAGTCCTAGTCTATAGTCTAGTCTAGTCTATAGATCTAGTCTATAGTCTAGTCTATAGTCTAGTCCTAGTCTAGTCTAGTCTATAGTCTAGTCTATAGTCTAGTCTATAGTCTAGTCTATAGTCTAGTCTATAGTCTAGTCTATAGTCTAGTCTATAGTCTAGTCTATAGTCTAGTCTATAGTCTAGTCTATAGTCTAGTCTATAGTCTAGTCTATAGTCTAGTCTATAGTCTAGTCTATAGTCTAGTCTATAGTCTAGTCTATAGTCTAGTCTATAGTCTAGTCTATAGTCTAGTCTATAGTCTAGTCTATAGTCTAGTTCTATAGTCTAGTCTATAGTCTAGTCTATAGTCTAGTCTATAGTCTAGCTCTATAGTCATAGTTAAATCCACTCTAGTATAGGTTTATATTATGGATTATGGGCCATGGTTAGTATGATTAAAAATTCACAGCAAAGTCTTCATAGAAAAACTTTGATCTTATGCCGATTATAATTAGCTTATGACGTTTATGAATTGCGCTTAATATTGGACCTGTCTGTTTAAGGTACTACGTAGTTATAATTATCTGTTAGTTGATATATAATATATTTTATTGTATACCTGTCTTGGCACACACTTGTTAACTAGTGTTATACATGGTTTTTTATAATATTTTTTTAACAGGTATTGCTCCAAACACAATCGTATACGTCGTTTTCTTTACATACATTCATTATGTTTTTCTGTGCATACAAATGAATAAATATCTAAAGTTATAAATGAATGCACGATTATTTTGGTATAAATATCCCCATAGTTGAAAAGAGTAACTTGGAATATTTTCTAGTCTATAATCAGGACTATCGTCAAATCTATAGTATAAGCTTGCCTATAGTTTTGACCACACATTATACTTTGGTTGTATCCCTAGACTACTGTTTAGTCTATAATCTGGATTATAGTCTGAACAATAGTCTAGACTATAGGTTAGACCATAAGTTATACTATAGACTAGACCTTTATCTAGTATTTAATATGGACTATAATCTATAGTCTGAACTATGTAGTCCAGTCTATAATCTGCACTATTGTCTAGTCTATAATCTGAACTATAATCTAAACAACAGTCTATTCTATAGTCTGGTATAGTCTATAGTATATAGTCGAAATAACACAACAAACATGGTTGACAACACTGTTCAAACTTAAGCAAGCATGAGAAGAATTTTAATTCAAGTCTAATTGAGAATTTCATTTATCATGTCTAAAGAGTCGACCGGTAATACGGATGAGGGTCGTTTGTTTACAGTCTTCTTTGGACTTTTTTTTGAACTATGCATACATTCTCATTATGCTGGTACGTTGTTTGGAAAGGAAGGGTACCTACTACTTTTTTTAAATTAAAAATTTACTCTTTAGTATTTTTGTTGTTGTTGTTTTCAGTTTATTTTGGTTAATTGCAGGTTGTTTTTATTGCACTTGTTCCACTTTTTTATTTAGTATACATTTGTTGTTGTTTTTTGTTTTTGTATGAATTGTTTTACTATTTAATTTCTAATGTTTGTTACAATAATGTTGTGTATTGTATGGTGGTGGATGTCGGTGATGGTTGGTTTTAGAAAAAAAATTGCATTTTTTTATGCAGTTCGGTTCAAAAAATTTACAGGCCGTTTTAGTAAATGTTTAATTTTTTTTTTGTTGCTGTTTATATGTAGTATCGTATTTTTGTTATTTAGTATTCTAAAATAGTTTCAATTTAGTTTTACTTTTACATTTTGGTTTTGTTTTTATTATTATCATTTCGGTTGAGCATGTCACGATTGTTTATTTCAATTTTTTTTTTTCGTTTAAGCTCCGTTTGACCGCTTTGCGGTGGTGACCTTGTTGTATGCCATTGTTATTGTTTTCTGTATTTAATTTGTTGAAATATTTATTATTTGCTTTTTTTTTGTTTAATTTTTTCTATTAATTAGAATACTTAGTTTCCCATGGTTTGTTTATACTTAATATGAGTAATTATACATATTGTCTAATTGTTGGTTTTGCAGCAAACGGTTTTTTTTTGGTAGGAAGTCGTTTTTTAATGTTTGCATTTGATTTATATTAAAAATAAAGAGAAAGGTGGAAAAATGATTTTAAAAATTTATAGAATTATGGTATACGCACAATTGGGACGATCGACGAATTTCGTATAGCACGACGAACTAGTCGACAACAATTCGTTGCGTAAATTCGTCGAATGAAACATAATCAAATTATTCGTACTGCGAATTCGTTTCAAAATTTTTTTGTTCGAAATTGGAAAAAGTAAGAAAAAGGAACAAAAATTTTATTTTGGGAATCTCCACGATTTTGGGATAATTTTAACAGCTTTAAAATTTATTCGAAAATTATTTCGAAATTAGAAAATGTAAGAAATTGGCCTCGAAAAGAACTAAAATTGTATTTTTGTGAATATCCCCAATTTTGAGATTATTTTATCAGCTTAAAAATTTTTTCGAACATTACTTCGAATTTTCGAACTTAATTTTACATATATATTCCAACATAGCATTGTAGTGTCATCAAGTGTACTCCAGACTGCCAAATTTCAGACAATTCGGGACACGAGAACTGGTTTTAATGGCTTTAAAATTTTTTTGGAACTTAACTTCGAATTTTCGAATATAATTTCGAATATTCACAACCGCCAAATTTCAGCAAATTCGGGCTACCGGAATTGGTCTTAAAACAATTTTCCCCAATTAATTCGTCGTTCGTCTGCGTAAGAAATATAAATAAACCTATCGCATAGTTCGTTACGTACGACGAATTTCGTCATACGCAATGATTGTGTACATTTTCATATACCCAAGTGTGTTCTATTTCTGACGACGAATATTCGTTCCGAAAAATTCGTCGTTCGTCCCAATTGTGCGTATATTGTGAAAAATCCATTAAAAAATGATATTTAATTCTATAGGAAAGACCTTTGAATTACCTTTCATTTGATATACATACATGTTAAATATAGTGAACTTAGTATATGAGATATACCCAAAACCAGGTCCATATATTCGATAGTCTTTAGACTTTTTAATCAACCATTTACAACCCAACTTTGTTGATTATAAATAGCAAATGTAAGATAGATTGGCTCATAATTGAGATCCATTAGATAACCAGAGAATTCTGAAATTTTTTAATCTTTCTTTGTCTTATTATATATTTGTCCGATTAAATATTAAGGTTTAATAGTAATTTTTAATTAAAAAATATTTAAAATAAACTTACCTTTAAAATCTCTGGAAATCTGCCGTCTTTTATATTAATCCTCTGCAGAAATTCCCTTTTTAATAAAAAATCTATAAAATTATTAACTTGTTGACATTGATCTGAAAATAAAAACAAAAATAAAAAAAAAAACATTTTAAAATTAATAATTTTATCACAGTTAAAGAGTTTTACATAAAAGTTAACATATAATTAAAAAAAAACCTTTAACATTTACTTAACTTAAATATTAAATTATTTAATACACTATAGTGTATAATAGCAACTATTTAGTATGTGAACACTTGTCTCGACAATTATGATGTAAAAATTTTGTTCACATGATAGTACGAATATAATTCGTGGTTATGACTTAAATGTTTTTGTTTAAAACCGCTCCCGCTTATGGTTGGCTTTTAGCTTTAGTAGTATAAAAAAAAATATATACAACTTTATAGTAACAGACACACAGACCATAACATAGGTCAGCGGGTTATAAATACAATACTTTGTTTAGGTATATAAAGTTGTATAAATATTTTGTATCAAGTGTAAATGACTGTAGTAGTATGGTTCCAATTAAGAAATATCTACCAAATATTAAAATTGATTATGTTTTTTTATAACTAACTGAGATATCAGAAAGTAAACAAGTTTGTTTTGAAATCTTAATATTTGAGCCACTTAGTTATTATTCTCTAAAGAAATATGTGTCTGATAAAAGTTTTGTTCTGTGATAATAATCTTTGTGTCCAAAAATCATATATTAGAGAGATGCCAGATATCAGTTCTAATCTATATTGATAGCCAATAAGATGAGTTCTAGACACTCAAGGATATTTTGTCGGAAATAATAGAGCTAATGTATTAGTTATCAAGGGAACCTTAGAATTGCAAAATCGTTCGAGCACCGATAGCACCGGGACTACAAAGATTCAGTGGGATTCTGAAGAGTGATATCAGTAATAGTCCACTTCAGAATGCAAAATCAAATCGAGAGTAGAGAGAATCTCATAAATCTATTTGGTGTAAGGGACCGATGGGTATGACCACAAAGATTTTGTTGGGTAACATAAACCAGAGGAGTACGGATACGTTTACATCAAATGGTACAAGTGTATTATAACGAATGAAGAGTAGCAAACAATGAAACACTTTTGGAATAAGATCGAAAATTGCACAGAAGGCAACATCCCTCTAAATGAGTAAGTATGAACCTAATGGTCGGTTAAAGACCATCAGCAAAAGGCCACTTTAGTATAGTCGGAAATGATAGAGCTAATGATTTACATCAAGGGAACTTGAAAATATCAACATGAGAATTGCAAAATCGTTCGAACACTGATTGCAGAGTGAAAAGAATGGGTGAAAGAAACCCATACATCTACTTGGAATAATGGAACACAAACATCCAATGAGAAAGGAGTATGATCATGGGGAAGAGTATAAAATGATTTCTCTAAATGAGTACTTCCGAAGGTATTATGATTGTACTTATTCTAAAGAGTGACATCTGTAATAGTCCACTTCAGGATGGTTGGTAACGATAGAGCTACTATCAAAGGAACTTGTGAAATGTAAAATCGATCTCTGAGAGTAGAGAGGATATCATAAATCTATTTGGAATAAGGGAAAGATGGCTATGACTACAAAGATTCTATTGGGTAACATAAATGATATACTGATACATTTAAATCAAATGAGGTAAGTGTAAGATCTAACGGTTGTTAGATCTTACAGCGTTGGCAGTAAAATGTCCAGAAAATGTCTAATAACAGTGTCAACAAATTTTGTCTTGCAACATTATTAGTAATTCTTTTTCTGACAACGTTGAAAAAGAAAAATTGTAAGTTCACACGATTGTTGGACAATTTCTGCACATTTTACTAGCAACGTTGTAAGATCTGACAACCGTGTATCAGAGCTTTAAGGAATGAAGAGTAGCAAACAGTTAAACGCTGGAATTCTTTGTCTGTTATTGTCAAGCAGTCGACGAAATAAGATCGAAATTTGCACAGACGGCAACATCTCTCTTCCATGTAAACGAGCTCACAATTATCCCTATAGCGATTTTTCTGATCGCTAGTCGGTCTGAAATAAATAAATCAGAACTGCAATCACTATACATTGAAACAAAGCGATTTTAGACTATACTGACAGAACAAACTGCTAAGGGTACTGGTCCCATATGAGCTTGGTTTCCATGAAATTGTCTGAGGTCTGCGCTACTTTCGATACTGAAATATGCGCGCTCGACCAATAATATTGAAGTGGACAGTCGTTCATACATCTAGGTGCTCAATACCAACGTACGAAGGTTGAAATGTCTTTTGATTCGCATTCACTCCCTGTTCCGACACATTCGATATGTTTTGTCCAATTTGTATGCGTTTTCTACGAATTGGCGACAGAAAAAGGAACAGATTTCTTATAGATATACGAGCACTTTATGATTGGACGCATAACCAGAAATTGTTTAGACGAAGAAGAATCAGTACAATAATTTCTATTTGATTCCCCTGGTCTACAGAAACCCAGAGTAAGATGTGTACTATCTTGGTATATACCCCTTTCATGATCTTAACAGTCGCAAAGAAGTAACCAATTGGAAACTAAAGGGAAACTGATGAACGATATAATTAAGTAAAAATCTTTTGATTTTTATTCCATGACTTCCATTTGAAAACATTAAAAATGTTTCTTATATGCAACACTTTGATGCTACAATATTAAATTACTATCTGTAGATAAGATCAAATATGTACTTGATTGCAATTACTTTCTTATTTTGTTTAAGTAATCCCTTTTTGTTGTTCTTGAAAAATAACATCGCACCCAATTAGCCCAGTATAATTAGTTAGTCTTAACTACAGACTTATAGTGGATTAATTAAAGCAGCTAATTAAAAATAAATTTTCTGTTGTTGTTTGTTTTTATTCTTCTTGAAGTAACTAAAGTACAATTATATTTTAATAAACACATTTAATGAATTGTTAATTATATTTTTACAATAAAATTTTTATTAACTGATTCACACACATGTCGAGAGCTACAACAAAAAACATATTTTTTTTTGTTAATAATTGTGTTTACAACAAATGATTCATTAAGTTGTTGCTGGTTTTATGACGTAAATTTAAAAATATACAATAAACTTTATTTCTGAAGCGAATACAGGAAAATATGAAACAATTGTTTGAGGATTTAAAATAAAATTAATAATTTTAAAATAAAACCAAAGTTGAATGTTTTATTAAAGCATATTAACAGCTGGTTTTTTGTTAAGAAACCCAAAATAGTTTTAATTGTTTAAAAAGTTTTGGAGTTTTAACCTCCGAAGACTTTACACTAAATTGCTAATCTCCAAGAAATGTGGTTAGGGCAAGGATTAGATATGATTTTAATACTAAAGATTTAAGTAAAATCTTTATTATATAAGGCCTAACTTCGAACCAATATTAACCCATGAGCTGACTAAGTTTAAATGGCCGACTGTAACGCTCTTTCCAGTTGTTTTAAACCAAACCATAATTGCTTTATTTTTCAAAACCAAGTTTGTACAAATATAGTTTTAAAGGAATTCGGTCAGTGGTTTTGTTGACTTGACTAAAAAAAACACATTTTCGTTAATTCAAAACAAATTAATGCTCTTAATTTCTTAATTAATTGTGATACTTTGGAGAGAGATAAAAATGTCATTTTTGGGAAGTTAGCATTAATTATACCCTACCCCACTTCAGTGGGGAGGGTATATTGGGTTTGTGCTGATGTTTGTAACGCACAATAATATTGGTCCTATACCCACCTTAAAGTATACCAATCGGCTCAGAATCATTTTCTGAGTCGATTTAGCTATGTCCGTCCGTCCATGTAAACCTTGTAATCAAACTACAGGTCGCAATTTTGAAGATAATTCAATGAAATTTGGTACATGATCTTCTATTGTTCCAGGGACGAAGCCTATTGAAAATGGTTAAGATCGTTCTATTATTTCACCTAGCCTCTATACAACTGAACCCCCCAATAGGGCTTGTAAACCTTGTAATCAAACTACAAGTCGCAATTTTGGAGATAATTCAATGAAATTTGGCACATGATCTTTTATAGTACCGTAGACGAAGCCTATTGAAAATTGTTAACATCGGTCCATTATTTCACATAGCCCTCATACAACTGAACCCCCGAATAGGGCTTTTAAACTTTGTAATCAAACTACAGGTCGCAATTTTGGAGATAATTCAATGAAATTTGGCACATGATCTTTTGTGGTACCGTAAACGAAGCCAGTTGAAAATGGTTTACATCGGTCCATTATTTCACTTGCCCCCATACAACTGAACCCGCCGAATAGGGCTTTTATGTTCATAATTATGTTTAATATACTCATATCTCGAAAAAAAGCTGCAAAAACCAAGTTCTATACAAGATTTGATGACCCTCACGAATTCCATAATAATAGGTCCTCATATGACCCTAGCCCCTATGAAAAGCCCCCATCAAAATTTCACTTAAATGTCCACAATTTTATTTTATTTAACAATAAACGGCTTAAGTATGTATATCTGAGGCAAGGTAAAATTCAATTTAAATGCTTTATTATGGCAAATAAATCACATTATATTTTTGTCAAAGGTCTAGGGTATTATATGGTAGGCCTCGCCCGACTATAATTTCTTACTTGTTTTACTTTATCTTGAATTTATATGGATTTATGTAAGTGTTCATTACCACAAAATCATTATCGCTCAACGACATGATATTTTCTAATGTTTGCTTCAAATGTACTTCAAACAAATTCTAATGTATTCATAAATCTTTATGCTTCTTCCTGCTAATAAAAGTTATAACATTTTATTGTTAGTTTAACCTTGAAATGAACATTTAGAAAATAAGAATAAAATGTATATTTAAATAAATGTTGTATGACGCTGAGTTGGTTGGTTGGTTAGTTAGATATTCTTTTGTTAAAAAGTATTTGTTCTCTGTTATCAACAGGGAATAGTATTCAATATTAAAAACAAGTAGGAAAGTATAGCCGGGTATGGTCGGCCATAGGATACCCTAAAGTAAGTTAGGTTCTAGAATGTATGGGGGCTAGGGTCAAATGAGGGCCATCGTTTAC